CTTTGAGTTATACAACCTGCAGAGAATTATGCAGGCAGTGCTATAGACACAAACATATTTTTATAGTGTGTTTCCTTTCTGTATTATGTCAACTCTACTTACATATTTATAGAAGCCTCTGGTGATTCTTAATGATGTTGTTCAGTTTAGTTTCTTAATAATTTCCTTGGTTTTATGCTAACATTCCTGCTGTTGATTGTTCTTTTATTTTAATTATGCCGCATTCTAAGCAGTGCTTCTGGGAGTGGGTTGGGGTTTACGCTGCAGTGCATTACAGGTGAAAATAACTTTTAAAATCCCATTAGGATGAAATCCCCTCACACTTTGGCAGGGGTAGGTGGGTAGGGCCCCATCAATGCTAAAAAGTTATACTGCTTGACTGTAAGGGGTGACAGGCAGCTCTAGTAAGTTAGCAACTACAAATGATGGTAGTTAACACATATTGGACACATATTACCTGCGGAGCCTGGGCTAGGTGCTCTATGTTCATTCTATCCTTTAATCCTCACCACAACCCTGTAAGGCGTATGTTAATACGCCCATTTGCCTCCCATGGAACAGAAGCCTAGAGAATCTCAGCACTTTGTCCAAAGACACACAGAGCCAAGCAGTGGTAAGAAAGGAAGCCTTATCTGACTCCACAGCCCCTGCTTTCAACCACTCTGCTGCCCTACTGTTCAAGTAAAAGTAAACCTTAGCCCATCATAAAAGTTGGAAGGAAAAAACACACCTCTTAATCCAAACTTTTCCTTGCTTACAAGCACCAAGTATTTTAAAAACTGGGACACCTGGGTGACTCAGTCAGTTAAGCATCTGACTTGGTTCAGATGCATGAGATCATGGTTCGTGGGTTCGAACCCCGCATCGGGCTCTGTGCTGACAGCTCAGGGCCTGGAGCCTGCTTCAGATTCTGTCTGTCTGTCTGTCTGTCTGTCTCTCTCTCTCTGTACCTCCCTGCTTGTCCTCTGTCTGTCTCTCTCTCTCTCAAAAATAAACATTAAATAAAACATTGTCTTACTGTGAGGGGTTAATCATTTAAGAAGAGGTAGTTGCAGTGTTCAAGGCTGAAGAGAAATCAAGTCATTTTTATTCAAACTTGGATCAAATATCATGTTCAAAAGAATGTAACGTTGGAATCACAGAGTACTGATTTTGCATGCTGTATTGCTGTATACTCTCAATAACGTTGGGCAGTGACTTAAACTGTCAAGTCCTACCTCTGCAGGTAGAAATAATAATAATAATAATTACATAGATAACTTTGTAGGAGTGCTAACAGCACTGACCCCATCTTTGGCCCTCCATCTTGTTTGTGCCTGTGCCATGACCTCCCTGAGGCTTTGATTTCTAGGCCCCTTGGAGGTTAATGTATGTCCCGACCAGAATGTAGGAAGGCTTGTTTTGATCTCTAAAGTGGCCTACAGAATGCACCACTATAGATGACAAGTAGTGCTACCTGATGTACAGGTGGGGTCACTTTAGAGAACTAGGAGCAATGACTGCCACACAGGTGGCACCACTTTAGGTAACTACCCTTTGACCTCACCGCACTGCCTCTCACTCTATAAAAGCTGTGGGTTAAAGTCCCAGGTTGAGTCGGGGTACAGTTGCATAGTACCTAGATTGTTCGTCTGCCTGATTCCCCGCCCCCCCTGTCAGTAAGTTACCCTGAATACATCTCTGTAAACAGTACGGAGGGGCTTGATTTGTCTTTGTCTCAGTATGCCTTGTCAGTTTGGGGGATCCTTTACCCTCTCTCCTCCACCTTCTGACATAGCTGATGGGTAGATATCTAGAACCAAATGAGGTAATCTATAGAGGATGCCACACATAGTGTCTGTCACGTATTTGCCTAATCAATATGATTCTCCCTTGTCCTCTATTTCATCTATAGAGCAATAAATAATTCCATATTTTTGTCTTATAGATGTCACTTAGGAGGAATAGATGCCCAGGGGGTGGTCTGCCAATCACTTTACTGGCCCTTCAGGGCCTTTACAGGGTCTTCAGCTCTGCTGTCCCCGTTGCCACTTCTTTACCACATCAGGCACATCTCACTGTTGGGCCCCTTGCACTGGCTCTTTCTTCTGCCTGGAATGGTCTTCCCTAGACATCCACCTGAGTTACTGCCTCATTGTCTCCAAGTCATAGCTTAAAGATTGCCTTCTCAGTGGAGGCTTTTCTGACCATTTTATTTAAAATTGCACATATAGGGGCGCCTGGGTGGCGCAGTCGGTTAAGCGTCCGACTTCAACCAGGTCACGATCTCATGGTCCGTGAGTTCGAGCCCCGCGTCGGGCTCTGGGCTGATGGCTCAGAGCCTGGAGCCTGTTTCCGATTCTGTGTCTCCCTCTCTCTCTGCCCCTCGCCCGTTCATGCTCTGTCTCTCTCTGTCCCAAAAATGAATAAACGTTAAAAAAAAAATTTAAAATTGCACATATATACCTCTCCACCTTATTGCCTTCTGGGCTTGATTCCCTTGAACATATAATTTATGTTTTGTATTTATTATATGTGTCCTCCACCCCCTGTAATGTAAACTACATAAGGATAGAAATGTTTGCCCTTTTCCCCCCTACTGGCTTATTTTTATTATCTAGGACGATATGTGGTTTATAGTAGACGCCTTTTAAATATGTGTTGAATAAATTAATGAATAAATGGGTGGTTTTCAAAATGAATGCTTTCAATAGAAAATTCAAAGAAGGTAAATATCACCGTGGAATGTGTTGAACTGAACATTCCATGGGATTGGATGGAAGATTGAAATATTACTATGAGTAGTGGTATCCTATTAGGATAGCTTAGTTTTCTGGACGGCAGTGGGAAAGCAGTGTAGCATGATTTTAAAAAAGCAAAACAAAACAAAAAAACACCAATTATACCCATGATAGATAAATCGAAATGAATTTCAAAAGAAAAGGACTTGGACATCCAGTGATGTATCTACTCGTTGAAATCCCATAGCATTTTCTGTGACTACACTTAAAAAAGTGTAATGACTTATGCCTTGTTTTTTCCCCATTTCTATTTGTGTCGCATACAAACATATGGTATTGATTTAAGAACTTGAGCTCAGAATTCAAATAAAACTCAATTAGACTGAATCCAAATCTTGGCACCTCCACTTTCTTAAGTCCTGAAGCTTGGAAAAGTTAGCAAACTTCATAGGTTCCTCTTTTGTAAATAGGGATAATGTCAGTACCTACCTCATAGAGTCATCGTGATGGATTAAAGTGGTAAACCTGTGTGAAGGGTTTAGAACAGGTACCTGCCCCACAATATGTGCTCAGCTGGTGAGCTATTACAAATTTTATTGTTCTTACTCCCTGGTAGACTATAAGCTGCAGGAAAAAAAAATACACACACACACACACACACACACACACACATGCATACGTCTATATGTGTACATATAGTATTAAATACATATATTTGATTTCTCTGTTCACAGATATTTCCCATTGTGAAACTTGTTTGAGAGGGATTGAAAAGGGGTAGAATCTTCCTAGAGGATTCATCCATTAGTCTTAACACATAACATGAAGTGAAATGGATTTCTTAGATTACAATAATAAGGACTACTTTTCATTTGACAGCCTTGCAGGGCGTGAATGAAAACTGCTGTTTTAAAGTGGTTATGTTCTATGGATGAAACTGGTCTTATTGAATGCACTGATGAATGTTTTATGGTTTTATTACAGATTTAATCATAAATCATTTTTATGAATTAATGAAAAATAGTATTTGTAAAGGTTAATAAATTTCTTGACAAAAAATGTATAGGGGCGCCTGGGTGGCGCAGTCGGTTAAGCGTCCGACTTCAGCCAGGTCATGATCTTGCGGTCCGTGAGTTCGAGCCCCGCGTCAGGCTTTGGGCTGATGGCTCAGAGCCTGGAGCCTGTTTCCGATTCTCTGTCTCCCTCTCTCTCTGACCCTCCCCCGTTCATGCTCTGTCTCTCCCTGTCCCAAAAATAAATAAACATTGAAAAAAAAATTTTTTTTAATAAAAAAAATGTGTATATATATATGTATGTATATATATATATATATATATATATATATAATTATTGAATAAATGAATATAGCAGACACTACAATGGGAGGTAAGCCAGAAAAAACAAGGAGATGTTGTCAGTACTCAAGGAAATTAACAATATCACAAGGTAGAGAGGAAGTGATATGAAGAGGTAGGGAACATCTCAGTTTAAGGAGAGCCATTAAAAGTGGCATTCTAAGGGGCACCTGGGTGGCTCAATTGGTTGAGCATCCGCCTCTTGATTTCGGCTCAGGTCATGATCTCACAGTTAGGGAGTTTGAGCTACAAGTTGGGCTATGTGCTGACAGCATGGAGCCTGCTTGAGACTCTCTTTCTCTCTCTCTCTGCCCCTCGCTTGCATTCTCTCTCTCTCTCTCTCTCACACACACACACACACACACACACAAATAAATAAATAAGCATTAAGAAAAGTGGTGTCATAAAACAAAGAGTGATGAGATGAAATGGCTTTAGATCTCCAAAAAATCATCTAAGGATCCCTCCCGATCTACTTACCTATAAATTAGCATTTATAGGCATGGTGATTTTAAAATATGTACACAAATTCTTTGATATCTCCATTTGAAGAAGCAGAACATATTCTTTCTTGGATCTAGTGAGTTGCTTTTGATAAATAGAATAAAGTGGAAGTGATGATTTCCAGCTATTGAGACAAGGTCATAAAAGGCATTGGGACAAAAAACAAAAAACAAAAAACAACTCCTGTTCTCAATCTAATCTTTAAAAACAAAATGATCCCTCTTTTCACATATTCATGTTTTTTTCACCTCCTAAACCCTAAATTCCTTGAAATGATAGCCCTTGCCCAGATCTTCTGTGTATGCCTTAGAATCTAGCGCATAGGTTAACCTGGCTGACTAAGCCCTAAGTCAGAGTATATTTGATTGGCTATCATCTCCATATTTTTATGAGGCTCTTCTTGATTAGAAAAATAACTTCATTATTTGAAATAATTATTTTTTTTAATCATTGTGCAGAATTTTACCGGGCTAAAAATAGAGATCCGAAGAAGAATGGCAGAGAACTCCTATGGGATTCTGAAGGCTCCATCTCTAGATGTGACCATGTTCTGATCAGTTCGACATTGAAAGAATCATCCAGCTGGTTCATGGTAAGTCCATGAGCTTGGTGGTACTGATCATATGATCTGAATCTCAGTTTCTTTTCCTGTTATGTGTGAATGATAAAAATAGGGTTATCTCGAGGAAACAGTAAGATAATCTCTGTAGAGTCCTTAATAAGTGTCAACAACTATTTTTATTTTTACCTTTCCCTTTTGTCCCATTTCCTCCACTAAAGGACATGTATTGACTTAGATGTTGCTTTAGACTTTTTTTAGTATTTCTTAACCATGGAAGACCTTTTGATACGTGGAGAGGGCCTTAAATATATGCTATGTAAGGAAGAAAAGAACAGGGATAAAGGTATTCATATCAGCCCTACATAAAATCTGAAACAATGCAACCAGGAAGATGATATTTAATGTATTTCAAAGCCATAGCCAGTGACTGGAACAGACCAAGATGATACCAAGAGAAGACATGATAACACATGGAGAGAAATTTCAGAGGAAAAAAAAATCTTGCCCAAGGTTCTTATTCATGCAAAGTTGTAATCCCCTGGTCACCAGCATCTCAGAGGGATACAAGTTAACATGCAGCATACTATAGGGATATTTGCATTTTTGTATGAACAATGTTTTAATGATGTCACTGAGAAATGTTAACTAATTGCATTTTTAATTAGTTTTAGGGTATAGAAGAATTAAAAGTGGTTATATTTAGAACTTATTTAATTAAAATGGATAAACTATATTTCACGTGCATAACATAGATAATCTCACTAGGTTCTACTCCTGGCTATACTACTGATTTAATTAATTGGGAGAACTGCAGCATATTAATGAGAAGAAAATAGAAACCATTGCCTTCTTCCTTTATTGTGATTGCAAGCCATGCCAGGTTCTGGATAAGTGGATAGTTGATATTGAAGGCAGGAAATGTTTATTATTCAGTGCAGCAGGCTGTGGTGACATTTCTTATCATTTCAGCATAACTGTGCTGGAGGGTCTGTAAATAGTATTTGCCAAAGGCAATTTTACACATTCATAATATTCTTTGATGTCTGGGCTGGGCGCAACTGACAGAGCCCCCGAGGCTATCTTTCTCCTCCTCCTCCTGCAGGCTGATAAACCAGTGTGTGGGTTTACAGAGAAACAAAACAAACTCAAGAAATTTCATTTAGTAATTTCTGAAATGAATTCACCTTAAGGAAGCCAACACCTAGCAGATAGTGGCCGTTTAATAAGTAGTTATTGAGTGAGGGGTGGTCCACTTGCATCCAGGTTATGGAGAATCATTTCAAGAGGGAAAATTTACCTGCAGGAAACATTCTGGGTAAATTTGATTTTATGCTGCTTCTGCGTAGGAAAGAGAAGATGAGAAAATGTGAAACCCTCATTCTCAGCAATATGAATAATAGTTAATAATGAATTAACATTTATTGCATTCTTACTCTGTTCACCAGTTGAGGAAACTTTTGTACATTTACTCATTTATCATAGCAGTAGACTTATATAAGATTGATGAGAAAACTGAGTCACAGATTAGCCACGAGCACACAGCTAGTAAGTAATAGCACATTAAAAAAATAAAACACTAGGGGCACCTGGGTGACTGAGTTGGTCAAGCATCCAACTCTTGGTTTCAGCTTAGGTCATGATCTCTTGGTTCCTGAGTCAAGCCCCACATAGGGCTCTGCCCTGACAGGGTAGAGCCCACTTGGGATTCTCTCTCCCTCTCTCTCTGGCCCTCCCCTGCTCCTGCTCTTTCACTCTCTCTCTCTCAAAATAAATAAACAAAGTTTTAAAAAAAATCATAGTCTATTAAAAAAAAAATTAAATAGGGCTCCTAGGTGTGTCAGTTGGTTAAGCTTCTGACTTTGGCTCAGGTCATGATCTTGCAGTTTGTGAGTTCCAGCCCCACATGGGGCTCTGTGCTGACATCTCAGAGCCTGCTTCAGATTCTGTGCCTCTTTCTCTCTCTCCCCACCCCCTGCTCACATTCTGTCTCTCTCTCTCTCAAAAATAAAGATTTAATAGGGGCACCTGGGTGGCTCAGTCGGTTGAGCGGCCGACTTCACCTCAGGTCATGATCTCACGGTCCGTGAGTTCGAGCCCCGTGTTGGGCTCTGTACTGACCGCTCAGAGCCTGGAACCTGTTTCAGATTCTGTGTCTCCCTCTCTCTCTGCCCCTCCCCTGTTCATGCTCTGTCTCTCTCTGTCCCAAAAATAAATGTTAAAAAAAAAATAAAAAAAATAAAGATTTAATAAGTAAATAAATAAGACACTAGACATATTTCCTATCATTTACAATACCACTATTTGTTCAGGCTCTAAATAACCCTATCTACCACCTCTGACCCAGGAAGTACCCATAAAATTACCCTGTACATTTTCTTTCTAAAACATACAGTTTTCTGAAATTATTATACTTATATAATTATGTTTTTTGTTGTTTTTCCATTTATGTTTATTATTTGTCTCTATCAGTTAGGATATAGGTGATTTGCATTCTCATCTTCTGCACTTATTTATTCCATATCCCTCTGCGAGTTTAATTTTTAAAAGTCTGACATCCGTAATGAGATAATAGTTCTGCTTTTTTTTTTTTTTTTTGAATGATGTCCAGTCTCTTCAACCTGGCACGCAAGGCAATCTGTCATGTGATACCTTTTTATCTTTTCAAACCTGCCTCCTTCTAGTGCAAAACATCCTTGCTGTCTCCCTGTTGATTAGTATATCCTCTGCCTCCTTCATCCATGGTGTGCACAGCCTTCTCTCTTTTGGCACCAACAGCCCTATTCCCACCTGCATGTTTGAACATAATTCTGCTTTCAAAGATGCAACCATAGCCAAGCTCTCATTCCTGTTGATTTCATTAATATTCGTCACCATCTTCGCCCTGAGCCTGTGGTTCCAAGTTTCTTTCCCTTCAGCCATCACTTTGTAGCTTCATGCCTTGTACTTTGGTAGTGCCACATGAGTAAATTTAAGTCTCAAACAAAATATCCTGTACCAGTTAGGTTTTCACTCCACTGTATCTCTTGCAGTGTTGGACATAGACTATGTTACAAGTAAATAATAGACTGATAGTTACCTATACTGGTCATGCAGTCCATTGCTAGGTAATGAAAAATGAGTATTCCAATTAATATAAAGGATGTTGTGCTGTCCTGCCTGGACTTTGCGTCAGGAATGATGATTTTTTCTCCCAGATGCTAAGAATGCAGTGGGAAGAGAACTTTGACTACTGGCCCATTTCAGAGATTGCCTCTACTGAAGAGACCCCACCCTGCCTGATCCTCTGTGCCCCTTCCTGGGATGCCAATATCCATGACTGCTTTACATGGGAGTATAAAAGCCTGACACCATCGCTCCACTGAGAACAACTCTGAAGCGTCATTCATGCTTCAGAGCTCCCCATAGAGTGACCTACATCTACCACTGAGGCTGCATGGCAGCCCAAGTTCTTCTGTCAAATTCTGCTTCCTCCCTTCTGCAGATTTTCCCAAGCCCACTCCTGAAAGAACTTCCTACATTTTAAACCTCTCAGAGTCCAGGGGGGCACGTGGGTGGCTCAATTAGCTGAGCATCTGACTTTGGCTCAGGTTATGATCTCATAGTTTGAGTTCAAGCCCTACGCTCACAGAGCCCACTTCAGATCCTCTGTCCCCTGTCTCTGCCCCTCCCCTGTTTTCACTCTCAGAAAAAAAAAAATTATATATATATACACATACATATATATATATGTATGTATATATATGGCTCTTCAGAGTCTGTTTTGCAGAGAACCCAAGTAGTAATACTCACTAATCATACATTCCATGATGACACATTTTTTTTTTCTAATAAAGATTAGGGGATATAGATGAAAAGTAGTAAGAGAGAGAATCAAAAAAGACAGTGAGGGGGAATCAGTGAACTTCTCTTTGCATATCGTGGAGAGTTTCTGTTTCATTTTCCTTACTCATTGGATCGTTTGCCTTAGACAATTTTGCTCTGCTTTTTAAAAATTATTATCCTATATGTGTAGATGATGAACATTGTCTTTAGAAAATGATGCATAGGAATATATGAGAGGAAGAAAATTAAAAGGACAATTTAGGTTGAACTGCACAGTTGTGGTGAATGAAATGGGGACACAGTGCCAGGCCACTCAATCTCTAGCCTCAAGGAGAGCTGATTCTGTCTTTTATTTTGTCCAAGAAAAAGTAGGGAACATACTAGAATCGCCTGAGAATGCTCCCTTTATTTATGTATTTTCAAAAGCCCAAAGTTGAACACTCAGAATGCCCTAAAATAGGAAGAGTATGTCCTTCCTTTATCTGAGACCCAAATACCAGCTGTTTAGAAGGCTCCAGCAGCATACATCATCATGCATTTGCCCCCTCAGTGAAATCAGCTGTGTGCAGTCACTCTCACAGCCCCGACTAATTGGCTCCGTCCTGCCAATAAGGGCCTTTGCCAATGGTGCCACTCTTCAATTTTATAAACATTCAAAATATTAAGTCAAGTTGGCCAGCTTCTTAGCAACCATCCCTGCAAAAATGAACACCTTTGATGGTGAGAACAAGCATTTCAACCCCTTGAAAATAACAGTGAGGTGTTTTTTTTTCCTACTCTCCCTCCCCAATGAATATTAAGCCTCTTTTTCTTGAAAAGAAAGAACAAATCAAGCACAGAATTTTCATTCCTCAAATTCATGTCAGTGACAATGGCGCGTTGGTGTGTCTTTGGGGGCTGCCTTGATGCTTATTTTTTCCTTCTGAGCAAACTGCATTAGACCAAAAAAAATGCCCCTGAGATTTAATTATCTTTCTATATTATTTTTCACTACAAAGACACTCTTTTATTGTGTTGCTATGTTGGAAAAAAAAAGTCTTTAATAGATGCAATTTTTTTTCTAATGGTAAAGGCAGTATCACTTCAAAGATGGAGAGCTTGCCTTTTTTGTGTTTGACAAAAGGAGCTTAGTGCTTTGAATAATTTCAAGGTGACATGAAAGTTGGTGGTCAAGATGGCTATGGAAAATAAAGGAGTCAGGAATTTGGGGTATTGTCCCTTCAGATGCCTCATAATTTTGCCTGTTTTTAGGTCTATAATGATTGCTGGTAACACAAACTGTATGTATTTAAGTTATTCAAAAGAGCTCTTTTCTATAAAAGTAATAAATTGTTTTCATGGACCTACAGGACAGGGATAACAATGGACATCAGAAAGAGATAGAAGCCAAGGACTGTAACATGACAGGGACCCGAGGAAATCCTCTTCTGGATCTTTGATCTCTGCTTCTCTTTGTACATCTGTTGTTGTTTTCATTTCTCTTTCTTACCAGGTTTCCCAGTGCACCTGGTGGGGTATAACTGCCATCAAACATGGCTAGGTTTATGATTTCACCACTCAGCCAGACTGATACTCTCCTATTCCTTCAGTTTTAAATTTTCAGGGAAGACTTTTGCTTGATCCCATCTAGAGTGTCTATTGTCTCCCTGTTGTCCAGAAATTATATCAGAGTCTGTCATGCTGGAAAATCATGGCTGGTCCCTTCTCAATCATGTGGATAAAGAGAAGGGGACATATTCAAACAAGTAACCAGGACAGTTACCTGAAAAGTAGCGGTTGTATTCGTATTACTGTTTGTAGCATGATGGTCAACTATGAATCTGAAAATAGGAAAGACATAGGAAGAAATGTTTGAGGCAAAGGCTAAATGGCTCAATTTTTTAGTTTGAGCAATATATGTTTGAATTTGGCATTAGCCTATCAGGGGAAGCATCTGGATACTTAATTGTTAATTAATTCACTTTGTGTTCCCCTGTTTATTCATTCATGTATCTATTCACATGCTGAAAGTTCTTTTGTGTGTTTATTGAAGGGATACAGAATTAGAAGTGTATCGGAGCATTTACATAAGAAATACATCCAGAAAAAATCTCAAGGATAGTGAGTATGTTGGGCAGAGTATGCTGGCTACTAACGCAGACACATACGCACACACAGTCACAATGGCTCAACACAAAAACTCTTTATTAAAGATGGGGAGGCGTTTTCTTTATGCTGATACTTAGAGACTCAGGCTCCTTCTCATGAGTAGGCCATTCCTTAGACTGCCAGAATGTTCTGCTGGTCTTCTGCATCTGATCAGCTGATGAATGAAGACAGACAATGGGAGGATTTCATGAAAATCTTTAAGGACCAGACCTAGAAATGGCATGCTTTACCCCTTGCCGCATTCCTTAAATAGCTGGACCTAAGTCCTAAGGGGTCTTTGATATGGAATCACACAGGAAGAAAAAAGATGAGTTCTGCATTTAGTCCCTGAGCAAGGGAGTCTCCTGCTCTGGGCCAGGCCTTTTATT